TCCGCTCTCTCAGAGGAACAGATGCGAATTTAGTTGAAATTGGGGCTCGAAAGGGGAGTTTCGGATAATATTAAGGTGGAGTAAGTCGCGGACGAAGGAGATCAGTCGTTGGAGAGGTAAAACCTTTGCTTCTCCGTAGGTTTCTCGAGGAACATTGGAGAGTTCGTAATGCACTCCGATCCGTTGAGTCGATTTCATCGAGACGGTGGTCAGTGGAGAGGAATCGCGTGTACCTGCTTCAGCAACGTCTCACCGCGGAAGACCAAGATACATTCCCGGTTTCCACGGAAATCGACGTCGAGAGCTACGTTTTGTGCACGGCCGCCGCCGCCAAGAAGTATTGCGTGGACGAGGGCAATATCAGGCTCGTAAAAATCTTCCGGCTGCTTTTCTTCTTTCTTATCGCGGCGGCTCTCCTCTGCACGTTCTTCTTCAACAGATATCACGTGCTCACGAAACACGCTGAAGTTTGAACAAGCACGGCCCGGACTTTACTCGTGACAGAACACCTCATTTGCATAGAGCCGAGATGTAGATAGGATTTACCCGCCTGGTTCGAAGATTACGATAATATATCCGTAACGTGGGATTGCAACGGCGCGGAATCATTTTACACACTCATTCTCAGTTCGTCTTTCAAATTCATACACCTGATATTCGAACTGCCTGTTAATCGGAATTATTATCAGAAAGATCCTAATTTTCTAATTTTAAATCTTAATTTTACGACGACCGGGGGAGAAGCATTTGATACGTCTTGCGATAAAAAAAAAAAGGCTTGAAATATATTCAACCTTCTTACTAGCCCAGGAATCGATTTCGAATTCTTGCATAAATACCTTGATCCGACACTTCAGTTTTTTCGTAACGACGTCCTACTTTTACAAACTGAGTTTTTATAGCAGAAAATGGTATCCCACGGCATGTAGCAATGCGTATATTTTGTGTCACATTCTTACGATAATGTTTTGTAATTCCAGATAATACGTGGGAAGGTAAAAGCAAAAGTGTCAGAAGTTGCTGGATTTTAGACGTGAAAGTTAATAACGCGTGTGTACGCCTTATTTCATTCTACTTATAAGATATATATATATATATA